GTTAATTAATACATCTTAAATAATAAAATAGTAGGTATTTGTTCACAAACGTGATGTTAACAATGTTCACCATGAAGCGATACAAAAAACGAATGAAATCTCGTTCTTTACTTCACATGTGCACTTAAACATGATTTAATATTAACTGATAGTTATCAGAAATGTCAAATCCAAGCAAGGTGATAAAAACAACTACAATACATCTCATAAAATAATAAAATAAAATAAAAAGAAATAATACAAAAATAGTAAAAAAAAAAAACAAACAAGTCAAAGATATTAAAAGCGTTGATAATAGTGTTATAAATAGAATTAAGATTATCTGTGTTCTTTTGCAAATTAATAGAGTCGCTCTGTTTTTTAATATAAATCATTTCACAGATTTCTCCTTTTCTAGTATTACATTTATTATGCAAAATGGACACAGACTCCCAATTAAAGTCGTGATTGCGAGTAACTCTATGATTGCTGATCACCGAATAATTACTTTCATGCTTTTTAATATTGTTGCGATGCTCTTTAATACGCGTTTCCAAATGACGCTTAGTTTGACCAATGTAACAAGCCGAGCAATCGTTGCAGTCAATTACTTAATACTGGATTCAACTTTCTTACTTTGATATATTTTTACGTAAAATATTTTCCGGTATGAATATTATTGGAATATTCTGAAAGTATTTGTGCCATTTGGATAATTTGATTTTTAATAATATTTATTAATATTTTTTCATTTGGTCTTTAATTTGGTTGAACAGTATTTATTATTATTTTTTTACCATATTTAACTATGTAAATTTTATCTTATTTTTTATCAAATTAAAATTTACACACAAACACATATATTTATGTATATATGTATGTATACAGAGTAGTTCACATAACGGTCGCCACAATTTTTGGAACATTTCCGCCAGTTTAAAAAAAAGTTTATACAGTGAAAATCAATCTGCTTTATGCAAGCTTTAACATGCAATAAAAATAAAAAAATAAAAATTTTTTATAAACAAATTATGTCACTTTGAATTTTTTAAATGGAATTATTATATTTTTTACACAAATTGATTCCTTACAATATTCTGCATAAAAAATTATAAGAATAGAATGGTCAAAAAGTGAATGGTTTACAAGATATTTTATATTTTAATCTTATAAAGGTGGTTCTCGTAACGATCGCCACGATTTTTAGAGCACTTACAATAATCTGAAGAAACATGTCATTAATCAGAAATTTATCAATTTGTAACTGTTAACAAATTCAATAATAATTTAATGATTGCTTACAATTTTACTTTATGTTACATTTCAATTCAAAATCAACAATTTTAAAGTTTCTACAGCGTAATTCTTTGCTATTTTCGAGAAAGTTTACTAAAACCAATATTAACGGCGTTATTATTAGTAACTGGCCTAGTACGATTGACACGTTTTCCACATGGAAACGTGCCATGTAAACGTAAAGAAGGCTCAATATTATAAAAACATTTTGCAAAAGGATAAGCTCTATCCGGATTTCGTTTTCTATACAAAGCTACTACATTCCGTGCATTTCTTCTACACTCACCAAATACTAGTAATAGTAACATATCTACTTTTTCCATATTAGAATAGTGATTCATTATATCAGGTTTAGACACACATAAATTGATACTAGATAAACTGATACTAAAAATTTCCTGATCAAATTAATAGCTAAGCTACATGATAACATAAGGTCAAAGTCGAGTCTGTTTACTATTTACGTTTTTAAACTTTTGAACTTCCTCGATAGCAAAGAATTACGCTGTAGTAGCTTTAAAATTGTTAATTTTAAATAAAAATGTTACATAAAATAACATTGTATACAATCATTAAATTATTGTTAAATTTGTTGACGGTTACAAATTGGTAAATTTCTGATTAATGACATTTTTTGTCAGATTATTGTAAGTGCTCTAAAAATCGTGGCGATTATTACGAGAACCACCTTTATAAGATTAAAATATAAAATATCTCGTAAATCATTCACTTTTTGACCATCCTACTCTAATAATTTTTTATGCAGACTATTGTCAGGAATCAATTTATGTAAAAAAATATAATAATGCCATTTAAAAAATTTAAAGTAACATTAATTTGTTTATAAAAAAATTTTTTTTAAACTAGCGAAAATGTTCCAAAAATCGTAGCGATTGTTACGTGAACCATCCTGTGTATGCTAATAAATCAATAACTTTTAAAGTTTTGCTAAAAAATATATAATTTTTGTAACATAATATTTATTATTGTTACATATTTTATTTGTCATTTATAAAAAAGTATTTATTACTATTTAATTATTTAATTACATTAAATAATAAATATAGCGGTTTTAATTTGATAAAAAATAAATAAAATAAATTTTGCATAGCTAAACTAAGATAAAAAGAAAGTATTAAATTACTGTTCATTCAAATTAAAGATCAAATTAAAAAATATTAATAAATATTGTAAAAAGTCGAATTAAAAAGCATCATAAATTTTAATTAAACTTATAAATCTGTTAAAAAAGAGTATATTTTTTTACAATATAGTTGTTTTTTACACAATACTGCAAAATATCTTATTTTAATCCTATTAATCAAAACATATATTGAGAAACAAATATTGAATTGACTCTATTCGTTCCAGAAAATAATTGACATCGTGAAATTGTTAAATGTGAAATTGTTAATTGTTAAATCAATTACAATTTTTATTTATATGATATATTATAGAATTTTATTTCTCATTCAATGCAATATAAAATACAATTATAATAGATTGTTTACGTACCCACACGAATATATTTCTTCTGTCGAGCTCCATGCGACACAAGTAAGCAAACATTTATGTACATTATTATCTTGTATAGATATCTTGAATTTCATGTTAAATATGTTGTAACACACGTCTACAATAATAATTTTTACAATTATTTTGATAGAATAAAATATATAGTCACACAAACACATACACTTTTCTCAACTTCGTAGTAAAGTAGTTGTAATGAAGTTAATTTGAATATAAGTAAGTTATAAATAAAGCCAACTTATTGTTATTATCGATAATATATGTGATTTTCTTATTTCGAGTAACGTTGCAACAGAAATCATGCAGGTTATAACTGGTTATGTTATAATTGGTTTGTGTTTACTGTTTAATTCTTATGGTAACCATGGTGACTTTCCATCAATACTCTAGGGTGCGTTCCGTTATACAGTTGCAAAGAGTTGATCTAGGTAGAGTTAAACCAACTAATGTTTCTCTCACTGATTGGCTCCGCCATTTCTCGAGCAGCGCTTCCGTTTTTCGAAATAGTTGTCATGTAATAGTTGTCATATAATATATAAAATATTTGACAATTGTAAAATCTTGAAATAATAAGAAATAATAAAATAAATATAATTAGAATAAAGTATAAAATATATAAATAAATATAAATAAATAAAAAAATATAAATTATATTTTAATATATATGTGTATATATATATATATATATTATATTATATTATACATATATACACATGTATACATATTATATACATATACAATATATACTCTGCACAAATTACAGGAATGTGAACATTACATCTGTTACTACAATATATGTAATAAGACAATTAAATCGGATTTATATTATACCAACTAATGTCCTATGTAGGAAAAATTAAATCAGACTTATATGCGAAATAGTAGTATAAAGAAAAATTCACAATAGAGAATTTTTAGTATATAAGCAAAATTTAATATTTTTACTTAATTTGATTGTTTTACGTGACAGAAAAATTTTTAATTTCTTTATGCATTGGATATTTTCACATATTAGTTTATGATATATGTATATAATTTTTATTTTTTTTTAAGTAACTATTTTATTATAAAGAATCTGAAGTTAATTAATTAAACTATAATAATTTAATAATTTTTGTTAAATATATAATTAGGAAAATGTGTCTTAAATTATTAACATATTCCAGTGTATGTTGAAACTTGCGACTCAAAACACCATAGGAAAAAGGTTTTTGTAAAATTAAAAAATAAAAGTATTTACAATTATACTTTACAACGAATTTGTGCAGTAGTTTTTGAGATGTAAGGATTTAGATGTTTTTAAGGAAAGTAGTAATTTTTGAGATATAAAGATTTAAAATTTTTTAAGGACCCAATTATAGGCTACGTTCATATACGTCCTGTTTTTGAATTATACGTATATGCGATACTAATTTAGTATTGCATGTTCTATTCACTAATGGGCGATTAGATTGCTTGGAATAAAAAATATCATATTTATTATTATTTCTTAATTTATTGAGAACATTTCTAGTATTATATTGAGTAATAATCTTTTTAATTTAATTCTGAATGGTATACATATAAATCACATTATATAACATATATAATCACAAATACGCATAACGTTTATAGTTAATAATGCACTGAATATATTGCTTTATATGTATTTTATAATTACCGAGATCTTAATTTCTATATAAGTTCTTTATTTTAATGAATACATGTCTTAATATTAAATCAATCTTTATCTTTTTTAGAGAATTCTTGTGATACATCTTAGATTTATATCTAAGCAAAATATAACAAAATTTATAGTAATTTTCTTCTTGAATATAATAAAATGTATCTAAGCAAAACAAAACTCAAATATAGTAATTCTCTTCCTGAATATAAAAAATTAAAGAAACAAAACGAAACATCCAATCCAATATATTTATATAATTACTGAAATCTTAATTTCTATATAATTTCTTTCTTTTAAATAATACATATGTCTTAATATGAATCTACTCTTCATCATTTTCAAAGAATTTTTGTAATATATTTTAAATTTGTATCTAAGTAAAATATATCAGAACTTAAATATAGTAATTTTCTTCTTCAATAATAAAAAAAAAAAAAAAACAAAACATTCAATATTGTTTTGTCTTTTTGTATTGAACGTATAAAATTTTTAGAATAGTTATACTTTTAAATATATATAATAATACCTTTAAAATAATTAACTTTTTGTTTTTATTTGATTACTAATCCAAGATTTTATTTGAGCGTTTGTGCGGTTTTTCAATATAGGATACTTGACTTTTATTTCATTTATTTGACTAAAAGATGGCAATTTATTATTTTTTATATTGACTGAAAATGAGGATAAGACCGCTTCGCGTTCATTATCAGTCCATCGGATTTTATTAGCTTGTCTTCTTTTAGGACCAAAAGGAGATACTGAAATATGAAGATTATGTTAGTAAATTTGCTTATAAGTACTAATATACTTATAAGCAAATTTTATATACAATTATATCAAGAATAAATTATACCAATGTATTATATATAAACATTATTTAAACATACTTCTCTTCTTTCTTTTTTCTGTACTACTATTTATACTATCTTTCCTGCTAAGCATTTCTCCGGTTTTTTTTAATATTCTTGTAGATTGATTACTTGAACTATTTTTACTTAAATCTGTATATTCATCGTCATCTTCATATTCATCGTTAGATTCTATCACATTTTTATTATCATAAACTGTTTCCTTTTTTGATTTTTTTTAAATTTTCTTTGTAGAATCGAAGGAATGCACTATAAAATATCAATATTATAACATATGCCTATATCCAATGCTTTTTATGTTAATTATAGATACCATATTATTATTTATCTCATTATATACTTGTATTAATAAGCAGTATAAATATATTTCAAAGGTTATATATATGTATACATACATTTGGAATCTGTATTAAATGTAAATATATATTTAAACATACCTTTTCTCTTCTTTTTTTCTAATATATTATTCATTTGATCGCCATTTCTAAATTGTTGAAATTTTTTTATATTTTTTGATATAGGTAACGTATTAGTAGTTTTTAAACATATATTTGTGTTAAGTTCATTATCTGATTCTATGTTATCATCTTCTTGACTTTCATTGCTTTCATCGGATGTCTCTTCTCCTTGAGCGTATTTTAACAATCGTGATATAGCCAAATCTTTTGTGATAACAGATTGCCTATAATGTGATCTATGTATTTTTTCATGATGGCCCATGAAGTTTGCCAAATCACTAACTTGATTATCAGATACATCTAATGTAATGCACATTGTAGCAATGTGTTTTCGTAATGTTGTACCTCGTAGAGAAGTTGGTATCTCTGCTCCAGAGGCTACAGAAAATTTGCGCATTAGGACACATGCTCTTAAATATTTGTGTCTTCTTTTATCAGTTGAGTTTATACCAAACACATAAGGATTTTCTACGGGAACACTAGCTTGTTTACGATACTTGACGATCATTTGTATACATGACAATAATTCCTCATGAAGTAAAACGGGAACTGTTCTTGCTAATTTTCCACGTATTGTTACACGCACATATTTCGATAAGGATTTTTGTAACTCAGGTGCTTCGTCTTTTGAAATTGCCGCAGGATTTTTTAAATCTTCTATTAAAATGCGTTCTAATTCGCCAGCACGTCTTCTATTGAACATCATGGTAGACACTAATGTCGTTTCAGCTAGTCTTCGCCACGTTTGAATTGAAAATCCATCGTTTTGTAATAATTTTAGAGCATTCGTACGTTCATCTATAAGAACTTGATTCTCGAGTTTCTTGTCTTTTTTATGCTGATATGCTTCCTTAAAAAATTTTCCAACTTGCTTTTTATGATATGCTCCTAACGATGATGCTAACGATGATGCTACAGAAGATACCTTGTATGTCCATGTTGTTTCATCAAATTGTGCAAGATTATTAACAGCTTTCACACAATAATCATATCTCTTTGGATTATATATTGAAGTAAAATCTACCACAGTATTATCAATTTCCTTCATAGTAGCCAGAAATCGTCCTAGTAGTCTTAATCGTGCTCTAATCATGTCATGTTGGTGTTGAAGACGATACTTTAGACACATTTTATTTCCATAAGCAATTAATAACTCATCATATCTAATAAGCTGAGTTATAGTATCTTCTCTCATCACTGGAAATACTAGTCTTCTTAATACTGTACTTGCACTATAATGTATACGGCAAGCTACTGTGCGTCCTAATACTTTTACATTTCTTTGACGAGACTCAGTCTTTTGTGTACATAACTTAAAATGATGTCGAATGTTATTCTTAGAAAAGTATCCTTTACATTTTGCACATGGAATAAAATCGACCGCTTGCTTGTTTAATTTTTTTGCCGGACGACGACATACAATTAAATTTCCTTTATTAACGTTAGGATCTGTATTATATACAAAATTTCCTGTTCGTCTAATTATAGCAATAATTTTTTTCCGTTCTGGGTTACCTAAAATTTGTAAAAAAATAAAAATGATAAAATTTAGGAAATTGCAAAGGGCTTCAATAGTAAATATAAAAGTAACAGATTGAGGGCCAATTGAAGCTAAGAAACGCAACGTAATAAGCGTCGAAATTCTAGTATTTCTAGAAATTTCGACGCTTATTCTTACGTTTCCTAGCTCCGATTAGTCCTTAATCTACTACTTTGATAAAATTTAGATTATTAAAAATGATAAAATTTAGATATTAAAAATATATAATTATTTACCTTTAGGTAAGAAACAAAACTTTTTTACATCTTCTTCAGTATTGTGTATTGATTCTAAATGCCTTGCAAATTGTGATTGCAATTTTTTACAGTATGGACACATACTCAACTTTAATTTGCGATTATCAGATGTTTCAACGTACATATCTTTATCGTCACATATATTTACTTTAGATAAATTTAATGAACTTGTTAAATTTAATTTACTTTTATTTAATTTACTTTTATTTATACTTGTATGATTTGTATTATCGCTAAGTTCATCTTCATCTGAATCTTCTGATACAGAACAATCTGATGTGTGGAAACTGTCATCCATATTACGCTCAGATGTAAGAGAATTATCAGACTCAATATTAGCATTAGTACTCATACATTCTGATGTTGATTTTTCTTTTGTTAATGTAGATTCTGCAAGTGGAGCAAAATCTACCAACATAGTATTTAAACTGTTATTATCCATGACGCAAGTCTTATTTAAAATATTTCCTTCGTCAATAATTTTATAAGTATTATTAAATTCTACATTGGATATAATTTTTATAGTCTTAATCTTATCGATTGCCTTTATATTTGCATCACAAAGCGTTATATTAATATCATTTTTATCACTTATGTTGCATATCTTAATATCACAGGCATTTTTGTCATATACAATATCATTTCTATCAGTTATATTGCATTGCTCAATATCACAGGCGTTTTTGTCATATAAAATATCATTTCTATCACATATGTTGCATTGTTCAATATCGTTTTTGTCATATAATGAACAAATATCATCTATATTCGAATTTATATTTGATGCATTAACATTTAATGTAGTATCAATGGGTAATACAGCAGCATTAATTAATGATGAATCTAGAAATAAAAATAAAAATAAGATTTTCAAAACTTAATGTACCAATAACTATTGCTTCCAATTGATATTTTTACTTTATTTAGATACTACATCTTTGAATTTTTTTTATATTCATTTTTGATAAAAATTTATAGAGTATGTATATTTTTATTGTAAATATAAGTAATATGCAAAATATATTTAAAATGTTGTTTTAAATAGTATATAGTCATATTCAGTATACATATGCTGAAATCTTACCATTTATTATGTTGTTAGTATTAAGTAATTTATTGCAATTTTTGTCAATAGTAGAAATATCTTTAGGTAAATGCGCAAGGTCTTTAATTTTATTTGCATCGCAAGATCTTATATTATCATTTTTATCATCCATGCTGCATTGCTCCATATCAAAAAACGTGCAAACATTTTCTATATTCGAATTTACATTTAATGTATCAATGTTTAATATTGTATTAATATCTAATATAGCATCAGTATCAATGAATGATGAATCTGAAAAGAAAAATGTATAATTAAAAAAAAAGACTAATGCAGATATTGGTATCAATTGTATATAATTTACTTTTATTTATAAATAAAATGCCAAATATTTCAACTCTGTGCAATTCACACACAGATCCATAAAATCAATATCTCATATAACTAAGTTATTAATAACAAAGAGCACAATAGAGAATTAATACTAAAAGCAGTTACGTAATAATTAAGTCTATGCAATATGCAAATTAGAAAGCTAAAAAAAGATTGTAATATCAAACTAATAACTTGTAAAATGAAACGACTAAGAGCTGATTTTTCTTGCTTGAATACCTGCACATGTTGACTTTGTTTGCTCTCTTTATTAGTTTTAAAATAGTTCATCTTTATTAATTTTAAAATAATTAACCTTTTTAGTTATTATATATTTTTACAGCCATTTTATATCTGCTATTGCATAAATCATTGCTGATTTGATTTTATGACACCTTTTTATATCTCTGACATGCTGTATCCACTGCAACTTTAATATTTGTACATTTAATCTGCTTTATGATATTTGTGTATTTTAGTTTCTTGTACTGCTATTGATAAAGAAAAGAATCAGAATTGAATCAAAATGTTTGGCGTTTTGGTTATAAATAAATAAATTCTTCAAAATCATACACCAACATTTAAAAATATCTATTCTTTTCACAATTAAGATTCCATATCCTTAACCCCTTTATCTGTTTTTGATAACAATTTATTATTTATTCTGATAACAATTTATTAAAAGTACGTACATAATACTCATTTTGTAAATATTTTATAAAAAGTAATGCGTACAATTATCATAAAAAAGAAAATGTCTAATAAATATACATTGAATGTATTTAAAATGTCTTACATATACAATTAGATATATGCAGAAATCTTACCATTCATTATATTGATATTATTAGTTAATTCATTAGAATTTTTATTGGTAATAGGATTATCGTTATGCAAATATGCACGATCTTTAATTTCATTATTCGCACTTGCATCATCACAAAGCATTGTATTATTCACTTTTATCACACACGTTGCATTATATATCACAGTTTTTATCAACTAATGTACAAATATTTTTTGTATTCATATCCAATGTATTCATATCCGATGTATTAATATTTAATGTGGCATTTGTATCTGCAGTTAATAATGCATTTGAAAAATAATTAAATAAGTTAAAAAATATGTATATAAAATATTGTATCGCAAACATAATTTATAGAAAAACAAAATTTACTAGATTATTTTTATTAATTTTTAATTTAGTTTTGTAATTTATAAAAAATAAATATAACTATAATTTAAAAATATTTACATAATTGCACAATACATATTATGTATACAAATAGATTAAACATATCAAAGACTTACCATTTATCATGTTATCATTAGCTATTTTATTATTAACTACTTTATTGGGACTGCCATCACTAGAGAGAGTAGGAACATTTTTAGACGAAAATGTAGGATTTTTATCATTGCTGTGTGTTATATCAAACAGCGGTAAACTGTTACCAATTTTGTCACTTTTAGTGCATTGTTCAATATTATTGGAATCATTCGATGATGCGCAAATATCTTCACTCTTATTCGAATTTGGCATATTTGATATATCATTTGATGTGTTATTAGTATCAGAAGTTAGCGATACATCTAAGAAATGAAATTTGAATAATATTTTATTGTACATATATTAAATAAGTATAATTTTGAATAAATTTTTTAAATTAATATATATGTATATATATAAATAATGCATATATTCTAACATTACCTGATGAAATATTTAATAATTCTATAGCTGGAATTGCTTTATTCAAATTGTCTGCAATTTCTTGTAAAACAGATTTATTTGCTGAAATTTATACATAAAAAAGAAAATAAAAAATGGACACATTATACACATATATTGCTATGCAATATTATTGCATAGATATTTTTCAATATTATTTTTGCATAAATAATATTACAATATATCTGTAGAATGACAGTGAATAACATACATGTGTATAAATATATTTAAAAATAAATATAATTTTATAAAATTTTAGATACCACAATACTGTACATAAATATTGCAAAATAAAAAAAATCTGTTTATAAAAATGTACACAAATGTATATAAAAAATGCAAAAGATATGCAAGACAATATCAAATCATATTCTCTGAATAATTTTTTTATAATTCTGGAAAGGGTTATTATAGATATTATATATTAATACATATACTCACTATGAACTGCGATAATGTGAGATTTTTTTACTTTTTTCTTTTTTGAACACACAGTATAACGTCCTTTAGCAAATATTAATATAAACATTTTGTGTGTGTGTATAAACAACTGCAACAAATGCAAATATGCGCAGAAACAAAATCGAGAATATAATATTTATTCCGTCATCGAGCCATCCGTATGGTTAGGTTATGAGGTTAACATATTATTTTATTTTTAACCTAATGATATATCACAAAAAGAGTGTGAATGCGAATATCAAAAGATAATGGCTATACACTTACATAATCATAATCAATTATACACTTACATAAAAATACGATCTATTAATATAAAATAACTCGATTGCAATATATGTATTGCTCATCTACATGATGATATTGATGTTCTAAACGAGTTTGCGGAAATCGTATATAGACGATATAGACTAGACATGCGGAAAAGCTGCACGCTCATTGGATATCGCGCATCGCGTGTCGCGTCATCGCGCTGGTGTGCAGGAGCCATTATGATTTACGACTCTATTGTAGACTAAGCTTTAAATTAATCTTTTGTAAGGAAAAGCATTGAAATAAATATTAAAGCTTTGAATGGTAATATAAATATTTTTACTCCTCTCTATATATATTTATAATAGAAAAAAAAATATTACTATTTTTTAAATTAAATGCAGCTACATGCATATTTAAAAAAGTGCATATGATCATTAAGAATGCCTTTATATATACCGCGATGTCTTTGACGACAGTCGTGAAAACTGCCAATAGTCGTCAAAACTGCCAACTTATACTTCAAGATGTCGTCAAAACTACCTTTAGACAAATATATATATATTGTACAATATATTATATATATGTGGGTGTATATACAGGGTGTCCCAGACCTACCGTATCACACGTTAAGGGTCGGCAGGCGACATGGTGGAGACGCCTATCGGCCGGCCGGGAATTAGAGATTCTTATATTCCAGATATTAGCGAAACTACTGAATGAATCTTATTAAATTTATGATATTCTTAATCAGTAAGCTCAAATGCAGTCCGCCAAAGAGTTATTTATTGAAAAAAAGATGAAAATAAAATTTATAATATAACTTGGGGGAATGCGCAGCTAGTAACGGGTAAGGTTGGGTTAGCCAGGAGTCCGTATTTTATTTATTATAAATTTTTCAGAGCAAAAATGCAAAATCCGACTCTTTGGCGGACTACTTTATTATATCAAGAATATATTAAAAAAAAAAAACCAAAGTTTTGTCACTTATTTTATGAAATATCTGGACGATAAGATTCTCACTAGATTCATAAGGAGCAGGGGAAATTTCCGTGGTAACATACTGACAGCTAACAGCTTGACAAGGAGAGACTATCATTCTGTCTTTGTCTCTCTTACATCGCATATGTAGTAACATCCATGTAGACACAAACACTAATGCGTTGAACGAATGCGATTATTGGGAGATATCAGCAAGAACCGGTTTTCGTATTATCATTGTTTCTCTGTATATGTATATTATATGTAAAAGAACAATAAGAATAGCAATAATTCTTGCCTAACATTATCTTCCAATTATCGTTTCGTGTACGCAATATATATTTCACATTATGCATCTGTAACAAATAATCGAATGATTTATTTAAATATTTGCATATAATCTATATAAATCTATATAATAAATAAATGTGTAATAAATTATCGAATGATTTATTTCAATATTTGCATATAATCTATGTAAATAAAATATGTACAAATAAAATAATATTTATGCAAATATTATTTTATTTGTGTACATATTTTATTTATTGTATATACCCAAACAACACCAAGTCCAAAATTGGCGCGTAAGATATCTTTAAGATGTCTTTTTGATATCATATCATAAGATAGTTGTCTTAAAGATTTCTTAATGCTATCTTATGCGTCAATTTTAGACTTGGTGCTGTCTGGGTAGATAATATGCAAATTAATATGCAAATAATAAATCATTCGATATAATTTGTTACAGATGCATAATGCGAAATACATATATTGCGTACACGAAACGATAATTGAAAGATAATGTTAGGCAAGAATTATTGCTATTCTTGTTCTTTTACATATGTGTGTGTGGGTGTGTGTGTGTGTTACAAAAATGTAGATTATTTCACATAATGTGTTTCAAATTATTATGATTTATATATTTGTAAATAAATCTATATAAATAATTAAATATTTATGTACAAATAAAATAATATTTATAAATATTTTATTTGTACATAAATATTTAATTATTTATATTAAAAATTTATATAGATTTATTTACAAATATTTAATAAATCATAATAATTTGAAACACATAATGTGAGATAATCAACATTTTTGTATACACACACACACACACACACACACATTTATATTTATTATATTTTATATTCATTAAATAAATAAACATGGATAAAATAAAAGATATTTATTTAACTTAGTTTAAATTGCGATCTACTCGAATTATTAATTCGTGTTGTTTATTAAATATGTTCAGAAACAATAGCAATTACATATATTAAAATTTTTATTAACTTCAAATTATAGAAAAGATTAGATATTTAAATGTATGTATATTTATATGTACATTGCTTTGCTATTGTTTACTGTACATTGTATACATATTATTATATATCTTTATTCCAAAGTAATTGTACTACATTAAAAACTTTAAAATAGAAAAGATCTCAAAAATAATACAATCAAATATATAATTCATAGATGTTTGATTGCATTGGAAAAAATTGCATATATTATTCTTTTATTAACATTTCTTATTATTTATATTATTTTTTATATTTATATTAAATATTTTTTACAATATTTTGTATTAAATATTTATATATAACGATTTTTGGGATAAGAATATGTAACAATATGTTGTAGCGCTTCTATTGTTGTGTTTCCAATAAGCGCAAAAAATTATGATGTTATTATAAGTAATTGATATTTTAATATTATATAATTGACATTGTTTTCCTTTCAGATTTTATAATGAATTATTTCTTTTACTATAATTATATTGATATTATCTATAGAGTTGCTTGTTGCAGATAGATTTGGAGACGTCTGAAGGGCGGATCACTTTCAATAAAGAGGCGTGGATACCATTGAATCAACGCCATATTGCAGCATGTAACGTATGCATAGTGGGGGTTTTAGTGAGTAAGAATCTCACACTACCCCAGAAAACCGGGGTGCCTTTTGAAGGTTTCCCCCACGTAAAAAAAAACGCTGCTGCCATGTTGCTCTAACTTCAATTAATTAATAATGCAATATAATAATCAACAATTATTTGTATATAATAATATATATAGGTAGTATATTTTAATATATAAAAATATTAAAAAATATTTTTTTAAGATTAATAGAGAAAAAGAATATTTTTTTAAATATTCTTTTTCAATTTATAATTTTAAATTAATTAATCTTTAATCTTTAAAATTGTAATCCGCCTTTCTTAATTTTAAAAATCTGATTTTACATTCATTATTTATCAGTGAAGAAATTTTTACATTAATATCTGTGAAAAAAGTGAACCATTCTATCGAACCTCTAAAGACTTTGTATTAGTAGTATAAGGAAACGTGCGAAAAATATTTTCAATTTTTTAATTTAGTTTTTTCAATAAACTGTTTATAGGTTCGACCTTTTATATATTTTTTACATAAACTACAAGAAGTTTTATTTTGAGCCGTCGTAGCACTTTTTATCACATCCCAATTTAAAGCTATATATTTTACGGAAAAGTATCTAAAATGCCCTTTTTTGCATCTTTAGATCAAGATATCTAAAAAACGTGACGTGATACGCAATTTTTGCGGCCGAATTTGTAATCGGCATGAAAAAAATCTACAAAAATACGCTTTGGAAATCTTCGAACCTAAAAAAAGTCATTTTTTGTTGACCAGTGTTATTGATTGAAGCATAGCACAAACTGAACATTTTATATTGTATACATTGTCTGCATAATATTTTACTTATTTATAAAATATATAATATATAAGTTTATATATATGCACACACATAGATATGACAATAGCGTTATCGTGATTTTTTTCGATTATTGAAGTTATATTGTATAATCTCTCTCTTATCTCTTTCTCTCTGCTACATAAATACTATTATAACGTAAAAGAACTTACGAGTAACGTATGATGGCTCAATGCAATAATATTCAATCACGTAAAAAACTTGAGTTCAAATATATCAATATCAATTTTTTTATAATATATTAGAATATAGAAAAATTATAGAAATATAAGGCGATAAACTTGAAAATTTTTAAATATTGAAAATATTTTAATCATTTTTACAATTACATACACTATATATATATATATATATATATATATATATATATAAATGCAAAATAAATCCGTAAATAAATTTATCAAGTAATAAATCCGTTGCATGCTTGCAGCTACATATACACACACAAATAGCTGGTATGTTGATTTTTATTAAAAATTTATTTTCTGTATTATTTTGCATTTATATAGTGTGTATGTGGGTGTGTGTGTGTGTGTGTGTGTGTGCGCACGCGCGCGTGTAGTAAAAATATTTTCAATATATTTATAAAATTTTTATTGCCGAAATATATTTTTTTATCATTTCTCTGTATTCCAATATATTATTAAAAAATTGATATTGATATATTTGAACTCTAATAATTTACTGGGTGATACATACTGAACATCCTTTGCATTGATCAATATTACTCGACATAAGTTCTTTTATGTTATAAGTATTTATGGAGCAAATTATACAATAACATCAATAATAGAAAAGAAATCAAGAATAACCAACGCATATTCGTCAATCTATGATTGCTATACAAGCTAATAATAATTTATATTCGTTCTCTTATTCTTGTCTCTCGAAAAAGTATAAGCAATAAATTATCAAATCTAACAAGTACCCGTGTCTAACATTGTAGACTAATTTACTTTCAATTATGCTACTGTTATTATTTATCATTAGACAATTATAAAACATATATATATATATAGCACTACAAATTATATATGTATATGTTTTATAATTTATTTTATATTTTATTATTTGACAAGTTAAATCTCTCCGAATCATAATTTGCGCTTAAATTTTAAAGACAAAATGCTGTAACTCTCTGATATTCCAATCTGTATTTTTGAAAAGGACCACATCCCGTATGGTCGAAACGTTAAAATAAATATATATACAACTTTAATTTGAGGCCAGTGTAGTCAGACCAAATCTCTAACCTCTGTTTTATAATTGTCTAATGATAAATAATAACAGTAGCATATATAATTGAGAGTAAATTAGTATATTTTATATATATATATATTTATATATAAATAATATATCCACATATGTGCATAAGCATATATAAAATTTACAAAAATGGGTGCTTATTAGTCTTGCTACGTTACTGCTTTCTGCTACGGAAGGCCAGAAAGCATTTTTAGGCGGCATCTCGCGTATACCGGCACGGTAGAGGAACAAGGAGAACACGTGATTATCGGTCCTTGTCTCTCTTACGTGCGTCCGCGTGAGCGATGCAGTGGTGTATGTACGT